AAAAGCATATAGCTCTCAGTTAGCATCGTTATATAGACTTCTAGTTTAATCTCTAGATTTTTCAATTTAAATACAAACAAAAATACAAGAATACTATGACATTTAGTTACACTTAAACTATCAAGAAAATCGTAAGAGATTGAATTAATTTCATAGGTTACTATTATCAGTAAAATAGTTGATTGAATTAAAACTACGGATGATTCACATATTGTATCTTTATAATATCTTCGCTTAGGCCTTCTTTATGTTAATCTCTTATTATGTCATTTTTTTTTGTTAGTATCTTTTATGTATCCTTATTCAATTTCAACACTGATTAATGAAGTCTTAAATAAATACCAGTAGACAATGATCATATTGTATAGATAGCTAAAAACCTTTGCATAAATAAAATTTATTGGTTATCTATCCAAAGAAATTAATTGTGAAATGAAAACTATAATATAATTATAGTTTAATATTATTTCCAAATATTCAATAAAGTTTTTATTCGTACATGACAATTACATTTACTCGAAGTTTTATAATAGTGATTATACGCAGTATTGTATAATTATGAAAGACAAACAAAGTAAAAGAGAAAATCTACCTTAGATTGAATATCTTATAGATTCTAAATACTTACTATAGATACTATTTATTAGACTAATATCTTCAATTCCAATTTTCCATTAGATTAAAGTCTGCTTATTACATAGGGCACGACAAAAGTTTTTTCGCCCGACTCCCTTAAAAGACTTGGCCAAGAACTAACTATACCGCTATAATATCCAGACATATTTAGGATTATACGCAAAATTTCAGACTTCTAAGTCTTGTGCTTTGTTGTAGTCTATCGTTTTCTTTGTACTAGGTATACGTGATTCCCAATATAACACATAATGGATTTAATGATCAGGTTTTATGTATCAATTTTTAATCCTTTAATAAGTTGTATTATTAAAACAAAACACATCACATGATGCAGCATGTGAAGCTCTACAATTTGCATAGGATCACTTTTTTGATAGTTGCATGTTTTGCTTTCAAAATGAACAAAGTTTTCAGCGACCAAATTTCGACGTTGAGAAAAAATAACACGAACCAGAAATTTCTTTTTTTCTTGTTTGATGTTTTTATTGACTATGCAGGTTGTACAGCTTTTCATGCTGTGTCTTGCCACATATTTTGTTTTTATTTACAAAAAGATATTAGATGGTAAAAAGATGAAAGAAGCAAAATAGTAGCGTATTCTGTGAAAAAAAAATATAATTGTTGCATGACCGGAATGTGGTAAATAAAAATTGTGTCTATTTTGAAAGCGAAACATGCAACTATAAAAAGAAGTGCTCTTGTGTAAATTGTAGAGCTTCACACGCTGCATCTTGTAATCTAGTGTGTTTCTATAATACAACTATTAAAAGATGGAAAACTGATAAACAAATTGCAACTGTGTAATCTACATCACTGATACAAAAAGAAATGATAAACTACAACAAAGCACAAGACTTCGAAGTCTGAAATTTTGCACATAACCCTAAATATGTCTAGGCATTACAGCGGTATAGTTAGTTCTTGGGTAAATCTTTTAAGAGAGCTGGGCGAAAAAACGTTTGTAGTGCCCCATGTAGTTTTTAGTTCCATTTCATTTTCTACTGAAGGTATGGTGAAGGTTGTATTTAAAACATTTTCATTAGGTAGTACTAGAAAAAGAAGTGTGCTTCATTCCATTCAGTTCAAGCTTTTATCTGTGTTTAAGTCAGTTGCAATCACTCGAGTAATATCCATATCATTTTCACGATCATTTTCATCAATTTTAAAAAATAAAATTGGTTGTTCACAGGTAGTATTGTGTGGTATACGTGTAGAAGATGAAAGTTGTTCATTGTTGAACATACCGTAGTACTGTCGTTTGTTTTCCTTATTTTCATCGAACAATTCATTCTTTAAATCATCAATATCTGCATCAGCTTGAATCTGAACCTTTTCTGATTCGTTACCAGTGATTTCGGTCCAGATTTTGATCATATCAAGGATAGTTGCAGTAGTAGACATGTTGTAAGTGCAAAAAAAAATGTATGAAGAAAGCGATCGAGAAAAGAAATAAAAATACTAATTCAAGCACGTGTCATCTGCTTCAGTCATTCCAAACAGAACAGAAACAACAAAAAAGAGAATTTTTATAATTTGAAGGATCGAAATCGAATAACAGAAAGAAAAGAAAGAAAAAAAAATCAACGGTCGGAGATCGTTAAGAGTATTGTTCAACTGAAGATTAAGTATAAAATTCATCTCGTTAAAACTATATCTTTCTAGATTAAAGTATTTCGTATGACTTTTTGAAGGTTGTATTTTCTATATAACTTTTATAAAATTATGTATGGATTTATAATTACAATTAGGATTTATGACATGAAGACAAATAGTTTGATGATATTCATTATTTACGATAACCACGTGTTCACGATACGTTTGTATCATTCTATCAGTACGATGTTTATGCTTGAATAATGTATAATTATGACGATAGAATGATAAAACAATTGATAAATTTATATGAATAACCAATGGGAAAAATACATATTTATTTTTCTATATCCAATTAATGACGTTATTCCTTTGTAATTATCGACGAAAAAAATCTCGTATTTATATAGGTATATACTTTCATTGTGTTTCTTCATCATTCGTAAATACGTTAATCAAACGACAATCATGAGTAAGTTATAGCTGTAAACACTGCTCTTCACTGTACAAAAATTTAACCGAATCTTGTTGTCAAATTTTCTTCAGGTTTTATCAACAATACTGTCGAAAAAAAGACTGGTCTCGATCTCAATCAAGATGGATTTGTTGGAGGCGAGAAAAATGCTGAAAAACAAACTGGTATTGATTTCAGTGGTGATGGATATATCGGAGGCGAAGGTAAATATCTTTGATATATCTTTAGTTTCATATCTTTATCTTGTTTATTATTAATTAGGTATAGGAAGCAAAATCGAAAAAGCAGCTCATGTTGATCTTAATAAGGATGGTATCATTGGCCGTCCACAAGACACATATCCTGGTGGTTATGGAGGTCCTCGTTAAATTTATTGTTACTCATTCAGTTTTATAAAAGAGACAAATCCTTTCCATTCGTATTCTCGCATTGCTTTCTATTTATCATGTGTCATTTTTCTCATATTTATCAATAAAGATCAGAAAATAAGAAATCATTGTAGCAAAGTTGGTGTGTAACAAAAATAACAATTCTTGAAACATTGTCAAAGAAAACAGGAAACAAACCTTGTTAATAGGCATGAATTTCATACTGTTAATTGTGTATGCAAAGGAAATAATATTGCGCAGTATTTTATATCAATATATGTTTGTGATATTGCGTCAACAGAAGAAAAACAATAATTTGTTTTCTGCAATATCTTATTTTAGTTGAGAATTGATTGTTTTTGTTATTAAAATCAAATCATATATATAAATACATATTCATTTTCTTACAGTCTGGTCAATAAGCTTTCATCGAATTTACGTATTTTTATTATTATTCCATGGATTTCTGCTGTGACCTTGATTGTACCATTTGTTGTGATGATATTGAAGTAACATGTATGAAAAAAGTACCAATAATTGAAGAAATAATATGTGTCGATGCAAAACCTCACAAGTGTCGTTCAAAACCCGTTAAATATTGTGTTGAATACATTACATGTGATATTGATTCATGTGACATTTGTTGGTAAATTCAAACAATACACAAACTCACATTCTCACATTTGCTCTATTAATTAATTAGTTTTATGTGTATTCCATCATTTACTTAATGTAGCATCTGGTATTATTCGTTTTTTTTGCTTCATTCCATCTGTGATTTATATTATTAGCATAAAATCTATTGTCAATGCATCAAATGATTGTAGTTCAGTACGAAGTCTGAGTTTGGTACATATCCCTTCTTTGTCTAATGTATAATTTTTCTCCGTGAGTTAAAATAGATACTTATAAAAGAAAAAGAAAAATAAGATAAAACAGAGCAAGTATATATTTCTCGTTATACACATGAGCCCTTGACGTCTAACGTGGCTTTTTTGCGCATATGAATATAAAACGATACAAAAAAAATCGTACACGCCATCGATTGATTATATTTTATTCATATAAAGCTTATACTATGCTTTCGGTATCATTCATAATATGTTTTGTGTTCATTAGTCTCTTAGTTTATTATTTCCATCTACTTCAGCAACGTGATCAATATTTTAATTGACGTGGTATTTCCACACCACCATTCCAATTTTTTTATGGATATTTAAAAACATTATGGAATTCTGCATCTTATCATCGTCAACTTGAAAGTTGAACTAAACAATATGGAAAAATCTATGGAATTTATGAAGGATCTCCGTTCTAATTTTTGTTGTTAGTGATTCTGATTTTCTTCATGAAGTTTTTATCAAACAATTTTCAGTTTTTCATGCACGAAAACCTACGGGTGTGGATTAACAGAAGAACGACACCGACACCAACACCCCACACCCACCCTACGAGTGAGTTTTCTCTTACAAAATTAATTACGAGTATAAAATAAAAACTTTGTACTCAATTCTTCTAAAATATTTCTATACAGTTAAAAATCAAAACATTTAAATTATTAGTGTTTTATTATTCTTCAATCTTATTTATGAACATCTTGTCCATGAAAAATAATCGAATATCATGTTGAACATAGTTTCTTTTCACATTAAATATACAACAATAGAGAAACAAACAGACGTAATTCTATTTTTCAGTTTTTTGTCTTTTAATTTCAATCATAAGTCACTCGCTTGGATTTAATTGTCAATCAGGTGGTGTATATTCTTCTTCTTCTTCTTTAAAATAGATACATGAAAGATTAACATCTCCATTAGCAATTGTGATAGTTTCGTTATTTGTTGTTGAAAGAGGTGTTACATGTTGTGCAGTTGCTCTAGATGGTATCTCTGGTCGAAAATGATCATGATAATTATGAAATAATTGTATGAAAACGAACATGTTTAGTAAGTATTAAGAGTTTATCTTTCGATGAATCTTACTTTGTTAATCCATCTATAAATAAATATTAATAATAGATTTTAATTAAAAAATTAAAAGAAAATAAACAAAAGAAACAAATCAGATGAATTATTCGTTTTCAAATAGTAATCTGATGAAGGATAACAAGCAGTTCTTTCTAAGATTATTTTCTTCCATATAATTTATCACTTTCATCGACAGCTTTGCCAGAATGGTAAACAACGGTTAACTAAACAATAAAATCAATAAAAATACAGATTATTAAAAAAAAAGAACATTTACATAGTGATTAAAAAATGGTTTGTTAAATATAACAAACAAGTATACATGTATATTCAAGATCATTGTACTCTAATGTTGAATAAAGAATACAAATTTATATTTTATAATCAAAAATTGAGATATAAACTTTTATTTCTAATCAAATTCAATAATAGTCGGACTGATAGTATCGATTCAAATGAAATCAATTTTTAAATCCGATATATATAATACAATTATTTTTATCGATTCAGATTAACCTAATTGAATTTCTGCTGATACTGTTATTGTGTATATTTTGACTCTTTTATTAAACAATTAAATTCATAATTAAATGTTCGACTTAAAAGACATTCACATCAAACATATATTCAATGACGCATATCATGATATTCAAAAAAATATGAATTTATTGGTAAAATACCATCATCTAATAGTATCTCCAATTAAGATTTCTTACTGGTTGAAAAACACCTTGAATATGAACATCAAATGATGTTTCAGTTGAATCAGCCAGATTTTTTTTATATTAATTTATAAATTTCACTTTCATTTATGCCATAATAGCAATATTGATTGCTGATGAAATGCAAAAAGACAAGACAAAAAAATTATAATTAAATGTTTTTTTTTACAAAAAGAATATTTTACATAAAATGTACAATTAATTGAACCAAGAGTATTCTCAGCTATGAATTCATATAAGTACCTGGATTCTTTGATTATAGTCTGATTAATTATTAATCTAATTATATATGATTATCTTGTACAATTGAATGGTCATTTTTCAACTAAAGATTTGGGTGTGTGGCTGGGTGGGATGTGAGTGTGGATCTTTCTCTCATTAATACACCCACCCACATCCAACCCTGTTGCATTGGAGAAATGAAATTTTAGAGTTCGAACATTTTATTTATTACATAACAAAAAAAAAATACAAAAACATATCTTAAAGATATTCTTTCTGGCAATCATAAATAGATATATTCTTTTTCTTACAGTTCATGAAATTAAATAACAATAAGTAAAAGACTTTACTCTTTGGTAAAGAAAATGTTGACAAAGCGTTCCGGTACTTTTTCAATTTTGAATTTGTCTGTTCACAAACAACAGTATTTATTTGTTGTACTTCATCATATTTGTATGGATTGGTTTGAGCTTGGCAAATTGTTCTTCGATGATTAGTAATATGGAATTTATCAACCAAAAAGATCATTTTGTTTCTATGAAAGAAAAATCTTGAATATAAAACGGAATTACAATACACTTACAAAGCGTCCCTAGAGAAAGTACTGAGTTCAGGGTACCCATGCACTGAGAAAGACCTAGCAGGGTACCCAATATAGGTACTTCGAAAATTTTCAGTAATTATACTGATGTAGGTACTGCGTGTGGTTCCCATACAAGTACGCTCACTTAACAAGTACTTGTATGGGTACTCGCATCTGTAATTTTACTGAGGAAAGCTACATAGGGTACCTTATATTTGTCGCGTTCTGTGTAGCGACTATTCATTCACCGTTTTCTTCTTCACGCACGGCTCCATATAAACAACTGGGTAAGACATAAGAAATGAATCTATTTTCATACTAATTTTTTCTAGATTATTTCTTGACTATTTCTCAGTCGAGAACATGCCGATCTTGATCGTAGATTAAGAGCGGACTACTCCGAAGTGGTCTGTTGGATACCTGACCAACTCAAGTCGGGTCAGATCCTGGCATTGTACCTGCTAAGTTTTTGGAACTGAAAAAATTAAATTGAATAAAATCGAAAAAAAATTGTAATAAATTGCTTTGAGAGAAACAAAAATTAAAAAAAGTTAACGGTCAGGTTCGATCCTGAACATACTGAAATTTTTGTAACAGGGTACCTAGAAATACTATACAATAGTACCCAATTGAGTACCTGATCGGTACCGTCAAGTACCCAGTTACTACACATTTTGTAGCAGGGTACTTGTTAAAGTACCACTTAGGCACCTGAAAGTACTTGCAAGTACTTTGGTACCCAAAAGTTCCTGTGACATACTGGTAACAGGGTACTTTTTCGGGTACCCTTAACTCAGTACATTCTCTAGGGGTCTGTTCTAGTTGTGTGTCGAATTTGACCATTTTGAAGTCGATTTCGAAATGTCAGTAATAAACCACCGGCATTATCATAAATTAAATATTTTGGTAATGATCTAGAATTTGGATAAACTTAATTTGTCCTCAATATCAATTCTTTACGAAAAATTCTTGCTTACACTACTGGTGAAAGGCAATCGATTGTAGTAAATAGATGATGGAGTACTTGTATTGGTGATTGAGATCTATATAATTCATCGAATTTTATAATGATACCACAGTTATACATAGTTAATATTATTCCATAGGATGTTTGACGACTGGAGTAGCGATCAGTTCTATGAAAAAATAAAATATTATATAGATATGTGTAAATCCGTCTTTACCTTGATACATTACAATCAACAATATCATTATCATCTTTGTCAGTTGAACTATGTACGGATTCGCTATTTTCAAGATGAATATG